ATCATGAGTTAATTCAGAGGCTCCATTCTCCACCTCCAGGCACAATTAAAAAATGGTGGCACTATAAAATGACTCTCCTGGAGCTTCCATCCTCCAAGCACAATTCCATGAAGTTGTGAAGAGGTCATTCAGTGGCTCAACAATATTAACCTTGCATGACTAATAGGACTTATCAAGAGTTCCCTGGCTCCAATTTCTTGGCGCTTTTTCAATAGGTGGGGCTGCAAAGAGGCCATTCAGTAGCTTTGTTCTCCACTATGTTTTAATGTGGTGGTGCGATAAAGAGGACATTCTTTCGGCTACATTTTCCAGGCATTTTTCCATGAGGCAACTCTATAAAGTCACTCTTTGGCTCTATCCTCTAGGCATACTTCCAGTCCTTCAGTGGCTTTATCCTAACAGAACATTTTAACATTGTAATGCGTTAAAAGACCCTCATATGACTCCATCCTCAAGGCATATTTCACAGAATAAGCAAATAAAGAGGCCCTTAAATTATAATAGAGGTCCATGAATGGCTCCATCTTCAAGCAAATTTCAGCGGAGAACAAGAAAGAGGTCGCTCAGCTGTTCCATCTTCTTAGCACATTTCCATCAGGTGGTGCATTAAAGAGGCCCTTCTGTTGCTATATCAGCTTTCAATGAGATGTCCCTAGGAGTTCCTTCAGTAGCTGCATCTACTATATTTCAGTGACATTCTCTTGGTACATGTGAGAAATAGATCTGCGGTCCACCCCTCTCGATGTCACATGATTATCATCTGATTATCCAAGTTATTTAAAGGTAATGCTTACACACTCAATCAATACAAATAATTTTGTTTAACAACAACTTTTTTCCAAAGTAAAGAATGCAGCAGACCTTCATTTAAAATATTCAAAAGAAAAGAGTAGCATGGTTGAAAAAAACTATGTGCCAATGATGGTCGATGTGTGTGTTTGTTGTAATACTTTGAGCTGGCTTTATTTTGAGCTGTATATACATTTCTATGGTGCCAACCTCTACAATTTACTATGAAGTGCCAAAATTGCAGAGTAGGCAGATCACTATTGCATTGTGAGGTAGGCACAAGTGCCGCACTCTTCACATATTGTATGGAGCGCTCTGCTGCTACTTGCAGACAAAATTATTGATTCTGGAGATACAGAGCCCTCAACTTACATCTAACCAGACTTCCATAAAACAAATGGATAGAATCACATACTCAAGAAATGAAAAAGTAACATTGCTATAGGAAATGTTATTTCAACCTTTTTTCCCCAGAAAACATTAATATTCAGAAGAGCAGTTCAAAAAATGACAGTAATTAAATTCAGTTTCTTCAACAGAGTTTCAGATCTCATTAACGGCTATCCAACACTTAATCCTATCACTTTTCATATCAATTAAATTCTGTATTAACTTGTTTTGCATAAGCAATTTTAAGCTTTAACTATAGACAAAAACATCTAAAAAGGCATCAATGAAAAGAAGAAAAATAAAATTGAATTGTACTTTTATATATGGCTATTCTAGTGTGTAAGATCAGCTGATTTTAGTAAGCAAATTTCAGAAATCAGAAGGCCAAAAGACCTTAACGGTTGTAAAACTGGAGGCCCATAGACCTTAATGGTAAGAAAACAGGAGACTTGTAGGCCTCAACTGTGATCTAATCTGTCATTACTTTTTAAGTATCAAGGTGTAGCATACCTTACCAATGATCAGTTTTAATTCCTCACCTATTAAACACATGCAATAGTACATTATTTTAGCATTTCTAGAACAAGAAACTTTCTATAGTGCAAAAATTAGTTCTTCCCAAAATTTGATCATTGACACCATATGCAATGGCACAATGTATGACATGATAAAAATGTAATTAAAGTCTCGCTCTAGATTCTAAATACAGAGCTTTTAATCTGAAATAGTTAAAATATAGTCAAAATTGTATTTACGTTAAATGGCCTTATCTGATCAGCTATCAGACAAGTTCTGACAAGCAGATCATGAAATAAACACTGGGACATTGCAGGCAGGCTATACAACGCCTACCCCATTTGAGGGTGTGTGTGTTATTAACATTACTGTGAAACTAATCCTAACCAACCATGTAATGGACATGAATATTTGGTCAGTTAAGATGAGGGTTCCTTTTGTTAACTTTAATACAGACAAAAAGAGAACTATGATACTTGTATATAATGTGAATTCACTACCAAAAATTTTTTCTTCAATGTTACTTCACCCAACTAAAAAAATCTTTTTCATTGCCTGGCAATATTAACACTTCATATCTATTGTAACACATGGCCTTCAAGATGGTTGGTTTGTCTGAAAGTTTTAACATGCAATATATTTCATGTTTTTGTTGACAACTATATCATATCTTCGGAAACGATGCTCTATTAATGTTTCTAATTCGTATGAGTTAACAGTATTCAATGACTTCCACGCATACTAGGGACAAAACTTACGATTGTTGCTACAGGTGTTGATTTTATGTTCCGCTACTTGGAACTAAAGATCTTGATCACCCAGGTAAGGTATAAAGACATAAAGCCAGTTCGAGAAGGATCAATATTTCAATTATTTCATCAGCAGTCAAACTTCTTTGAATCTAACTTTGGTGATTCAAACTTTCCGATGTACCAAAGTTTTTTTGGTAGTCCCTTGGACTTCGAAACTTCAAAGTGTGACTGCATAACAAGGACATCATTCTGTACATTGCTATTTCGGATTTGAGGAGGATCAGTTTGAGGAAGTTGTACTGTATGTATAATTATCAACACCAAAAAGATGAAACAAAACTGTACAAATCACTTGTTACCCTGAAGTGAGGTGGATCTATAAATTCAATGTTAACAACTACAGAGCTAGAAAGCCATAGTTTTAATTTATAATTTGCAGAAATTTTTGTTGTTATTTATAGAGATTTGTTTAACATAATCTCAATGATAAGATCAACAACATTAGTTCATCAAACGTATCAGTCTAAACACTTTCAGCTTAAGTCAGTGCGGACATTGCTTGGCAATATGCAGACTTTCTCTCTGCATCAAATGGCTACCAACGCCCATGCAGCAAACATCAGGCATTGATATATATGTATTAACCAATTTCATTACATTTTTGAAATACAACATAACATTTTCAGGTGAACATTTTTTGAGAAGTGAAAAGTTTTGACCTAACAGATCACAGTATTTAAAGAGAAAATATCACTTTCTATTGGAGTGCATTGTGATACCTACAAAGCTGATAACTCTTGAGATTGGTGAAAATATTATAGATTCTGAGATTGGTGAAAATTTGAGAATGGTGAAAATATTATAGATTCTGAGATTGGTGAAAATCTGAGAATGGTGAAAATATTATGGACTCGGAGATTGGTGAAAATATTATAGACTCAGAGATTGGTGAAAATCTGAGAATGGTGAAAATATTATAGACTCGGAGATTGGTGAAAATATTATTGACTCGGAGATTGGTGAAAATATTATAGACTCGGAGATTGGTGAAAATATTATAGACTCGGAGATTGGTGAAAATATTATAGACTCGGAGATTGGTGAAAATATTATAGACCAAGAGATAAGTGAAAATATTATAGACTCGGAGATTGGTGAAAATATTACTGACTCTGCGATTGGTGAAAATATTACCGACTTGGAGATTGGTGAAAATATTATAGACTCGGAGATTGGTGAAAATATTATAGACTGGGAGATTATTAAAAATATTTTAACACTATCAAGTGGTGAAAACTTAATAGTATTGAAATGATCCTGTCCATTCTGAATTGATGAATATTTTAATTCATATTTACTTTTGTTAATTATTGTGAAGAAATGGCGTCTTAGATGTGAAACTTCTGTATGTTACTCTACCAAGTTATGATAATACAACATGCAAATAGAACCAATAATGTCATCAATAACATGTGAAAAGAACAAATAGATGTAACATTTCCTGGGGTGAAAAACTTTTAATATTTTTTTCAATTGTGCTGCAAATTTGTGAAAAACATGAAATTTTTCTACCTAATATGATGAAATAGAACTGTTATTAATCAAGAGATAAAGAAAATCCCCTTTCTATATATCCAAATCTAAGCTGGTAAATTTCTTTACTTCTTCTTTCCCAACCGAAAATCCAAAAATATTTTCTATAAGAGCCAGCAATCAGCCGATCTGACGGACTTTTTTAATGTGGGCTGGTTGATTTTGACGAAAATCATAATTTTTTCTTTCTGACTGAAAATTTACTTCTTTCATGTGCCTGACCTTTGTAAATTGTGTTCTATATATCATCTTAATGTATATTTCAATAATATATTGGTATTTTATACTTGACCCTTGTAAAAAACTACAAAATTTGCTGCTTCTGGAGGTTTTTCATTGCGTTCTAAGTAGCTTAGAACCATTTAGATTCCAAAACAAGGGCTCTGCTGTTGATTTGCAGGGGCTACTGTCTCCCTGACCCAAGCCTGGCGTTTTGGCTGGCAAATAATTTCCAAAATATACATTTTCTGTATTGAAATAAAGTTCACTTTCTTTAAAGAAGGCATTGAGAGCAGTACTGGCAAAAGTTTCATTCTTTAATGAACACTCCATACAGATTTTACAAATGTGAAAGAATTTAATATCTTGCATTTCTGTTTCCTGAAAAGAAAATTCTGAAGCTTTTATAATTTTACTTACAGCTACATCAACACCAACCATGCCTAAGAGCCAGTTATGATTAAAATCAGTGTTAGTAGCGAAGAAGATGCGCAAAATATGAAAATATTCATGGACTGTATAAAGTACACACTAACACCACATCATTCTGGACCTTTGTAACGTCCTGGGCAAAAACCGTGTTCATTTTGTATTGATTCTTCTCAAACTCTACCTCATGCAAGATCAAAGCATGCTTTACTAATAAACAAACAATGTACAATAACAGGCAGGAATATGGAGTAAAGAAGATTTCATAGAAGACATACTACAAGTAAAAATAAAAAACAAAAAAACACTTACCAATTGATGAAAGAACTTTTTCCAGCAGAGTGGTTTCCTATCATTAAAACAGTGATCTTCTTCCTTGGTGCCAGCAGACTGATCCCCAGACTTTCAGCAATCTTCACCAGGCCTAAAACAAACAGGTATTGCAGCTTCAGTGAAACTAGTCTATTAGGGAAATAAGAAAGATTTCACTAGGTCAAAAACAGGTTTTGCAGCTCCAGTGAAACTAGTCTATTAGGGAAATAAGATCTTGCTAGGTCAAAAACAGATTTCACAATTCCAGTGAAACTAGTCTATTAGGGAAACAAGATCCACCTAGGTAAAAAACAAATTTTGCAGCTCCAGTGAAACTTGTCTATCACGGAAACAAAACAGATTTCACAACTCTAGTGAAACTTGTTTATTAGGGGAACAGTATCTCAACCAGGTCAAAAACAGGTTTCATGATTCCTGTGAAACTAGTTATTACGAGAACAGTATCTTCACTAGGTCAAAAACAGATATTGCAGCTCCAGTGAAACTAGTCTATTTGGGGAACAAGATCTTACTCTGTCAAAAATAGGTTTCACAACTCCAGTGAAACTAGTCTATTTGGGGAACAAGATCTTACTCTGTCAAAAATAGGTTTCACAACTCCAGTGAAACTAGTCTGATGAGAACGAAGATGATTTTACTCAACTGCAGAGAAACCTATGGAAGAGATCTTCCTTTGAAGCAAAAAAAGAAAGAGGTCACAACGCTAAGTGAAACCGGTCTAAAGGAAGGAGAAAACTTAACTGCAGTCCAAAGACAAACACATTTTACTCCTGTTAAACCTGTCTAAAGAGAAAAGACTTAACTGCAGTCCAAAGACAAACACATTTTACTCCTGTCAAACCTGTCTAAAGAGAAAAGAAAACTTAACTGCAGTCCAAAGACAAACACATTTTACTCCTGTCAAAACCGGTCTAAAGAGAAAAGACTTAACTGCAGTCCAAAGACAAACACATTTTACTCCTGTTAAACCTGTCTAAAGAGAAAAGAAAACTTAACTGCAGTCCAAAGACAAACACATTTTACTCCTGTTAAACCTGTCTAAAGAGAAAAGACTTAACTGCAGTCCAAAGACAAACACATTTTACTCCTGTCAAACCTGTCTAAAGAGAAAAGAAAACTTAACTGCAGTCCAAAGACAAACACATTTTACTCCTGTCAAACCGGTCTAAAGAGAAAAGACTTAACTGCAGTCCAAAGACAAACACATTTTACTCCTGTTAAACCTGTCTAAAGAGAAAAGACGACTTCACTGCAGTCCAAAGAAAAACACATTTTACTCCTGTTAAACCTGTCTAAAGAGAAAAGACGACTTAACTGCAGTCCAAAGACAAACACATTTTACTCCTGTTAAACCTGTCTAAAGAGAAAAGACGACTTCACTGCAGTCCAAAGAAAAACACATTTTACTCCTGTTAAACCTGTCTAAAGAGAAAAGACGACTTAACTGCAGTCCAAAGACAAACACATTTTACTCCTGTTAAACCTGTCTAAAGAGACAAGAAAACTTAACTGCAGTCCAAAGACAAACACATTTTACTCCTGTTAAACCTGTCTAAAGAGAAAAGACTTAACTGCAGTCCAAAGACAAACACATTTTACTCCTGTTAAAGAGAAAAGAAAACCTGTCTCAAAAGAAAAGAAAACTTAACTGCAGTCCAAAGACAAACACATTTTACTCCTGTTAAACCTGTCTAAAGAGAAAAGACTTAACTGCAGTCCAAAGACAAACACATTTTACTCCTGTTAAACCTGTCTAAAGAGAAAAGAAAACTTAACTGCAGTCCAAAGACAAACACATTTTACTCCTGTTAAACCTGTCTAAAGAGAAAAGACTTAACTGCAGTCCAAAGACAAACACATTTTACTCCTGTTAAACCTGTCTAAAGAGAAAAGAAAACTTAACTGCAGTCCAAAGACAAACACATTTTACTCCTGTTAAACCTGTCTAAAGAGAAAAGAAGACTTAACTGCAGTCCAAAGACAAACACATTTTACTCCTGTTAAACCTGTCTAAAGAGAACAAATTTTTCTTACAGGCAAAAAGCAAACAGATTTTATACCACTTCAGTGAAACCAGTCCAAAGTGGACCAAACTTCTACTGTATACCTAAAAACAAATAAGTATCTCCTATTCAAGTAAAACCAGCTCAAACATAACAGCAAAAACATACAGATTTAACAGCTCAAGCGAAACCAGGTTAAAGGGAAATGAGATATTCTTCAGATAAAAAAAAAAAAAAAAACAGACTTCCGAACTCCAATGAAACCAGTCTTAAGGGAACAAAAACAAATTTCACAACTCCAGATGAACTAATGCCTTCGTGTGATTTGGGTTGAGTAAGGAAGTGTAAGCTTCCCCTTTCTGTTGGATGACGATCAACTGGACAACACTGTGGCAAATACAAATATACTCTGTGTGATAATTTTTTTGTTTCAAAAGAGCATTGTACGATTCTGCCGATACATAATGATCTTTTAAACAATACTGTTTAAATGAGTTGTACAGAATGTTTATTATATGGTTTTAATTGGTTTCATTATTTCGAATAACTGAGCAGATTTGAAACTGTGCTGGTATGTTGAAGTCTTTTAATACGATTCAAAGCTTAACTGACATATTTACTTCACATGTCATTTGTAAAGAGTAATTCTATTTGCTATAAACAAGGAAATGCCATCTTTCTTTATCAGTTTAGTGATCTGAGCATAAATTATGGTTTTGCCCATCACTTCCCACGCAAGTATTCCTTTTCATCAAACCTCAAGACTATCCCCAAAAGGACACCTCCCAACAAGACAGGATGACATTTACTAAATTCTACAAAAAGTCTGAAATCTGACATAAAATACAGACCATTCAAAACTGTGGAAAACTGCAATTTTTGGGGGTATAAAGCCATACAGATAAAGGTCAAATGACTGTAAAGTCTATACATTGAATATGGCCAAGAATATCATGCAAATCTGCTTTTTGGTAGGAGTGATCAAGTCAAAATGTCAACTAGAGGTCATGATATTCCGATCTCATGATTTACTTAGATGATTCAGTACCAAGTCTGAATTTAAGAAAGAGTGACCAAAGGCATTTAGCTTTATATCAAAAGCTATACTTTTAATATTTCAAGTATGGAAGTCAAATAATACCCCCTCACTTCCCAAGAGCAGCTGGACCCTTTTAAGTAGACCTGACTCATCAATGATTTTGGTTTCCAAACAGGGATAGTGCCTCTTGTAAATATCTTAATTACTGTAAAATGATTGTGGATACTTTCCACTGGCAAGAACAGCTTTTTCTTCAGATAGCTTTTTCCAAAACCTGACCTGTTAAGTCTATCCCATTTCTATTGTGAAGGCCAGATCAAACATGTCAGCACACTTTACTTTCCTTTCTTGATCACTTCTCAAATGGCATTTTTTGTGGCAGATCTCCAGATACCTCGAGGCAACATCTTCAATGACAGACATATCCTAACACTGATGTGTGTTATTTGTATTGCAATGTCCTGCTCGACATATTCCCCTGGCCATAGAATGTTCTTTCATAACACTGGTATTACCATGCAAATCAGAGCTACTAGTTTTTCCTCTATGTCTGCAAACAGAGCTCATTTCCTTAGGTCAGGGAACAACCCTATTATGGCACCAAGCCTGGTGTTACTACTTAGCTTTTTCATTTTCTTATCAGATCTTCTTTTTTCAGAAAAACTCCACATCTTACTCCTCAAAGTACTGAAGAGGAACAAGTGAGGTAATTTCCTGGAGCATATCTCTCCAAATTGGGGGTGATGCCGACAAAGTCTTGTAAGTTTCTGTTCGAACTGTTGTGCTAGTAGCAGATGCTGCATAAATCAATAGAAAATATCTTGTATTGTCTCAAATAACTCTTTTTGTCATCTCCGATGAATTTGCTTCAAGACTTTCAGGACCTCAGTGATAGAGCCCTTGATTAACTGCACTTCTAGCCTTTCCTCCTTCTGGCCTTTTTCAGAGTTGTTGACAAGGGTCTTTTTTCTAAATACGACCTAATCCGTCTGTTTTTGCTGGAATTATTACCCCATGAATAGCCTTGGTCATTTTGAGGCAGTGTTTACTTTTTGTAGGTGGTGGCTACCTCACTGAACAACATACGAGAGGCCATCCAGAGCAATTAGGCTAAAGTATCTTGCCCAGGGACACCACCATGTCACCACAGATAAGGCTGTTTGTGATAATCAGATAATCTGCCAATACTCTATATATTCCAGCCATAGAGTATGTGCTCCACCGAAAGACCTGTCCAGTGGGTTTTTACCAGTCTTCTACAAATGAGAATTACTATGGTTATATTCACTCCATGTTACATCTTCATAGAAATGCTGATTTATGCTGGGTTGTACTTGCTGTAGTTTTGTTACTAACAAGAGCAGAAATTTTGTTAATGTGTGGTGTATGGTCTTCTTATGAAAAGCTGTTGACAGATTTCAACTGCTGCCTCTCTTGCAAAATCTTGTTTCTTCATTGCTAGGTCTACAGAGCTTCAATCTTTTCTGCCTTTATATTCTTAACCTTGTTGATAGTTAGTTGGTGAACTTCCTTTTCCAAGCAAAAAAAAAATTCTGGTCTTTCTGCCTCTGCAGTTCTGTCCATCCATTATTAGCTTGTTGAATTTTTACTGAAGTGATGTCAGTTGAAATATCTTCTGTTTCCAGATATTTATAGGATTTTCATTTGAAAGATTGCATGCATCAAAATCTGATATTTTCCCACTAAAATGCCAAAAATGTCATTGTTATTAGCTTTCAGATTCACAACCATATAAAATCAAGACTGCAATTTGTTTTATTGGGACTGAGGCAAGTGAAACACTCACATTTTGTTATCAAGTCATATCAACTTTGGGCTTGAGAATTCAGTCATGAAGGCATCTTAGCAATATGGTATTTTTCCCAAGCCATAATCTTGAAGCAGGTTAAAGTTTTTCTGCTGTTAATTTGGACTTATGGCAATTAGTGAAATTTAAGCTTATTCTTCGAGTCTAAGCCTTAAATTTGCATTTTCAATAAATGCTAAGGAAAAATTATAAATTTGCACCTTGTTAAAATTTCAGAAAAGACTGAAAATGTTCACCTCTGTAATGAAAACTTGATGTCAATATGCATATTCATGTTCATCGTAATATAAGCTTTTGGATTATGTACATAAAAGCTTTCTTCCTGTATTTTGATATTTATGGAATATTGCAATTTTCCATTAACTTCTGAGGCAACTAGGTTTGAGGTGCTTACATATTCAAGAAACCTTTTGAAAATTTTAGAAACTTCCTGTCCTTTGCATGATCTTTATAATCAGAGTGAAATATTATTTGATTTTCAAGTGAAGAGACGGCACATCACAAAATTCCAAGTCTCAGAAAAGTGCCTAAGGAATCCAAAATCAAAATACTCAGGTTTGAAATTTGGACAAATTTCATGTGTCTTCCTCGAGCTCCAATGGAAGGATGTTAAGTATGAACTTGTTACAAGTTTTCTATCAATTTAGGAGGTGATGCCAATTTGTCCTCAGCTGCTAGCTATATGAGGTCAATCTAGATACGAGATTCCATATTTATTATGCAATATTGATTTGGGACTGGTAGTACTTTCAGTTAAATAGTTGGCCATAAAAAAAAAATCTGAAACATGATTTTGAAGTCAGAAAATGTGAACAATATTAATGCTGGTTATTGCACACATACCATACAGGGTCTGTATCTCATTGAATTTGGGAGCTTAAAAAGGCTTCCCATGTGGCTTAAAACACATGACTGAAATCTTATTTATCAAGTAACTGGCCTGTTGCGTCATGTTATATGACCATGTCCTAAATATGTCATATCTTGAAATAAAATGACATCATCATGACAGGACATATTTATGATGTCACATTATTATCTCAAAGGTGTAACCGTCTCTGGTGAAATAATTGTCTAAATATAAAGCTATACAGGTTATAGGATCTATAGAATCTAACATTGTTGACCATATAATATGGAATTTCTAAGGCATGTTCAATAATTTGATATGTCACAAGCCTCGCTAAATACTTTGATATACCACTAATCTTAAGGCTCATGACATATTAAATGATTGAACTTGTGTAAGCAAACCCATATTTCATGGACACTCATACAAGAGCCTTATTCCAGTTCTGGCAGCAGAACATAGGACCATTTCCTTAAAAATTTACGTGTATGATAAGAAATTCTTATCACTAGTAGTGACTTATTCATAGTTTTTCAAGTCACTGCAATGAAATTCAGACATAAATTTGAAACAATTATTTATGTTTTAAAAACTGCATTACCATGAAAAGTTTTATTCAATTTAAAGCATTTAGTTCAATTCAAACTAAATCTAATGATATCTGTAAGAGAAAAACAAAAATTTAAACCAGCAATCTATGAAGAGATATTATAATTTTTTTTCCTACAATCAATACTTTTCAGTTAACAACTACCCATTTCTTTTGTGGTTGGTTGTTTAGTTATCTAATCTTTCAGTTTACTTTGAAAATGAAAGCAGACATCGACTCAGCTCCTTAAGTATATGGTCTGTTAAGTTCACAGACAGGTGCTTGTCTGAGTTGAATTGTCTGGTCTTGAATTGATTATGATAAAAACTCATCATCATATTGCTGCAATGCTTCAAAGACTTCCAACATGCAAATTGTTGCTTTTTTCAGTTTTCTTTTTTTCAGTCCTGCTCTGAAATCACAGTTTGAACTGTGAAGAGAAATGTCCTGAAAACAAAATATGAAAATGAAACTATGACCATGATGGAGGTGGACAAAATAATGAAATGAAATTTCATAAGACCATATTTGGTTTTATAGCAGGAGAAAGATGAGGAAGTCAACCATTAACACTTACATATTTGTCAAAACTACTAATATGCAAGACTAACTACCTACATTTCCTGCTCATTTACATGCATGCATTTTATGCACAGACATTTGTAGCAATGTTAATTAAATAGCAATTTGACACAAGAAAGCTAGTAAATAGTTATCACTGAAGTAAACTACTCTACCACCAGAACCATGAAGAAGTAATAAATTGATTAAATGGGGGGAAAAAATCATATGGGATAACTTAATGTCTGGGCTTGTGAATAAATTTTCATAGTAGACACAGGGGTTGCAAGGTAAATTTCCCCAACACAACCATGTAGAAACAGCTTTGTAATAAAGTCAATAATTAAAACTATCGACTGATATGTCTTGCATACTTCTTCACATAAAAATTCCTAGAGCACTAGTGAGGTCCCCAAGTACTCAGGATGATTCACCTACAGTAGACTGCAGACAGGACAAAATTAACATAGATGATGCGGTGTGGAAAAACCACAAGTGTTTAAACCTTCAGAATCGTCTGGATTTTTTCCATTGCGCGTTTAACTTAACAGGGGCGTTTTCAATGAACAAACTTACATAAGGAAAAAATCCTGAAATCACGCTCCGGTTCAGTGAAAATAGTGACCTTTGATCAGCTGAGAGAACTATTCAATAGTCGGCAGACTGGATTATATTTAGCTCAGCTCCGCCGGGTCAAATATTTTTGAGCCGCAGTGTGCTATGAAATAGGACAAATGATTTATATGACCTTCCCAACTTAAAATATCAAATATGTTTGTTAATGAGTCATAGATAAAGTTAAACATGTAGGAATAAGTAAAAAAATCCCATTTACACGTCACAGATTTAAAAAAAACAGGATAGTCTAAACCAGTAGCCTGCCATGCTAGTTTATTACGAAGTCGTGTACTGTGTAATGGCCCGGTAGATGAAAACTGCCTAAGAAGAAAAAGAAATAACTTTTAACATATATAACAAAAAAACTTACCGTTTTCTGGATCGATGTAAAGAGAATGGCATTCTTTCAAGATCTTTTCGTTCACCGATTGAGTTGCGGAGTCTGCCGCATTCGCTGACGTTCTGTGCCTCACTTTCCCCGACATCCCGATCCAGCTCCTGTCAAAAAGTGAGCAGACAGACGGTGTCGTAAGGGTTAAATAATTATGCTAAATTTCTGGGTGCGACATAATGTCACGTGTTCACCATCAGTCTATACAACAGCATTGAAGTTCATTTTCATGCCAACTTTGTCTCAATTATACACAAAACGTAAGCATATTTGATAAAATCTCACCTCAAAATAAGGTTTCAAGCACAGAATTTAATCTCGATTCCGACAATTCCCTTTCGTGTTTAATTTGCGAAGGTATCGCCGTCTACATCCGTCAGCTGATCGGAGAATGATCGGAATAATGTATAAAATAAAATGTAAAATTAACATAAACAGTTAAGAAACCAGAATTAAAACTGATCGTCTGATGAGAAAATGTGTTGTCATTATTTTTTTCATTGTAAATATTTCTGAATTCATTGATCTGTAATGACGTTATCACTCGGCAACCTTGCCGGTAATATTGACCAATCAAAAAAAAATATTTCTTACCCGCGAGCTTGAAAATACAGGAAGTGGAATGGCTACGCTCGTAGCAGACTATGGAGATAGTGATGAAAATTCGGACATTGAATTTGAAGTAACAGATGATGACAGACTGTTGTACGTTGATTTAGGGGGAAACACGATAAGATATTTAGGTGTATATGCACAAATATCAAAAGTCACTCCTTATTCATTTTGGAATTAGAATCTAGATAGCCTGTATTCGTAAGATGCGATTTTTATGCGGCAACCCATCTACATTAACGTTGATCCCACCATACTTATGATTATACATGCTACTTCATGGGCATACTGTTTTGATTAAAATACTTGGTAATTAAAAGGATATGAATTGCAAACAGTAAATAATGATATGAAATAGATAGGGCTAAAAATAAGAGTTGTGCATTACATGACTATGGGGATATCCCTATATCTGCTGGAAGCTGGAGCTATTCAGACCTATCTGATACCAAATCTGATGGAAGAGAGTTTTAGAGTGGTTTGGTAAAATCTGGTACATGTATACGAAAAGAAACTTTATATTTTGGTTTGGAAGATTTCGTATACATTGACAGGCAGATGAGAGGATAGCATAGATTCAAAGTGACCAAAGGTTTAACATATGATAGTGGGTCTATAGCAACAACTTGGTTGTGTATAGCATGGTCATTTTGATGGTGTTTCTAAGTTTTTCAAGTGACTGAAGACCCAAAATTTTCTAACTGATATAACTATTGTAGAAGAATTGAGAGTACAGGTTGCTTAACTAGCCTTGGCTGGTGGGAAAGTTCCCTTCAGTAGAATGTCTGCCTGGCAAGTGGCAAGATGTTTTCATTACTACTTCCTATTACAGATTTGATGTCATTGACCACTCCAAGGGTAGAAGCTATAGGAGAGTGAGATGCTTCCGTGGAGATATAAAATCTGGTTCTTGTTGTCTTTGGGGTCAAAGACTTTGTGAAGGCAGCTAGTTCGAACCCCAGTGGGCCAGGATTTATTATATGACTCCATCCTGTTGCACTGTGAGGTTTCTCCCTTGGCATACATGAGAAAAGCACGTCTAAAATCAGAACCCTGACATTTTTCTCATTTGATGCAAATTTGTAAAGAGGAAAGCTAGTATTTTGACTTGACAAAGTTTTAGTATTGGTTTTATTATTGTGTCAGATTGAGTTTAAACGTCTTAAAATTGAGTCTGCCACCTCTACCCTCACTCCACACCCTCCATGCCTGACAGGCTGACCCAATTGGGGAAAGTTTACATATTCTTTGAAAATCCAGAGTCTGAAAAGTTGACTTTATCAAGCTTGGTATGAAGTGTCCTTGGGTGAAATGAAGTAAGTTTTAAATAGCCATTGGGTCTGACCTTCCATGGAACCTGAGAGTTAAGACCCAGTAGAAAAAATATATGCAACAGAGGTCATTATTTATCCACTATTAAGTACTATTTAAGGGTGGGACTTCAGACCTACCAGTGTTGCACTAACCAATCAAGCTAAAGAGAAGTTCTCTCTTGCCTATAATATTGTTGCTAGTAGTACCAGGGTTACATACTCGTCTGCCAGGATGAACTCGTCTTCAAGTTTCCAGTTGTAAGAGTATCCTTTGAGAAAATAATTTCCAATCCCCACATTAAGTGCTGATGCAACTGAGGTCATTATTCATTTTATTGCATTTGCTGATCCTACGCTCAGCTGATCAAGCTAAAGGGAAGTTCACTCTAGCCGAGCAGTATGAAATGCAGGTCTAACTGTTAAAATCTTCTTCCTGATAGGATATGAAAGGACTCGTCTTTGTATAACAGATTTGCCTTTTTATGGAACAGGATCAACTGATAAAATAGAAGAAATGCTCTAAAATCCTACTTCTGTTGGATTGAAGGTATTTTTAGTAAATTCAGTCAGAAGCTTCTTTAATGCAAGAATTTGTATAAAAAATGTGTGTGGAACCCAGGGGCTTCTGGCATAGGGGGAAAGGGTTGATGGAGGGCAGGTCCAAAGGGCAAATTATAAATGATTATGATCTATCTTCTGCTTTTGTAAGCAATTGTCTGGTTCCCTTGTGGATGATGGGTGGGGCCTTATATGGGAAATAGAGGATAATTTTGGAGATCATTCTTCTTTAGTCTGGTTTGATGAATGTATTTTGATAAAATTTGGAAGGAAACTTTAAAATTTTTCATATTTCCAAACATATTTCACAATATGGCTGTGAACATAAACAACTTTATCATGTGAATGCTGAAATATTGAGGTAGATGATACAGGCTTTATGGACCTCTTGTTTCTTGTTAACTTTTTCATTCAGGATCAAAAGAAAAGTTGGTAGTGCTTTCAGACATCTTTTGAACAGCTACAGTACAAGCCCAAGGGACATTTTGAATATTATAAGCTGATGTATATATGTATGCTAGTTTTCAGGAATTACCAGGATGGGCAAAGTGTTAAGTGCCTTGTGTGACCATCACACATTTATTCAGTTCTTCATTAAACATCAAGAAAAGATTAACAAAAATGTAAACCTGGTGCTCACATAGACATACTCCACCCCTGATCTTTTTCTTCTGATCAAGTTATATTAAGGCGTTAGTGTATTAAGGGTTCATGAGATTTTGTATATAAGCTTTTTTTATTTCAAATGTAGTCAAAGGTGACCTTTGACCTTTAAGCTTGACAGATGACTGCCAAAATCTAATGAGGTGTAGACATTGGTAGGTTAATGCTGTCAATGGGTTTAAGAGATATCTTATACACCAGCTGGTCTCTCAAAGCAATCACATATGTAGTTTTTGGGTTTTAGGGAATTTTTTTAATTACTTTGAATTTTCATGCACATTACCATAAAGTGCTCACTATCATTTTACATTCATGCTATCTTGCATATATACTGTTAATATTTCATTTGAATACATAATGCATTTTTACTATCTACCTCAATCCTTACAGCTGAAACCAACATTAAATTTGATGCCCTAGCTTATCTATTTTTAAGGGTTCTGCTTATTTGTTCTTGTTTCATTTTTTTTTGTCTTGGCTTGCAGTCAGTAGGGTTAGCCTTTCCTATTAACCATGCCCAAAACAAAAATAATAAGTAGATAGATTTTAAATACTTTTTGAATAATAAAGTCCAAATATGAAACAGTGATCACATATTATGATGAACAAAATTGAGTAAATGTGACGCAACTTGTTCAACATCATGGCATTTTGCAGGTCAGAATGGGTATTTTTGCCATTGGTTCCACTGCTGCTTTCACATGCAGATTTTCTTCAAGTCGGTACAAACTAAAACAAAACATTGATGGGAAGGAAAATGGAAACAGAAACATTGACAATTTATTGACATGAAACAAACAGTACAACAGTGTGACTCATGGAGGGTCAGTCTGTGAAAACCTTACCCAAATAACATGTACAAATCAATCAGTAGTATTAGTCACGAAATGTCTTTAAAACTTCAGGCACTGTCCAAGTCTGCAGCATGTGATAAAATGACCTAACCCAAGACTTTGTACACTATTAAGACCACCTCGCTATTAAGACCACTTTTTTCCAGTCCCCAATGTGGTCTTAATAGCGAGGTTTCGCTCTACTATTCAGTGGAGTCAAATGACAAATCAAACTGCTTTGTAGTCCTTGTAGGACTCATCAGTGATGCTTGTGTCCATATATCTGATGATTTCAGAAGAACCTACAATCTATGCTTGAACATATGCAGACCTGATAATGTTTACCATCTACCTATGACAAAATTAACCTAGTGAACAAAAACACATTATAGAATGTGGCAACAGATACCTGATAAATATGCTCCGAGATGACAGTATATGATTATTTTTCAGATTTCAAACACTTATAAATATGCTTTGATACCATTTCAGTCATCACTGGAGAAAAAGGTGCCTGTATTCTCCCTACGGCTGTATATAGATGGGGCTATAATTTCCAAAATGCAACACAATCTAGAATGCACAAATGTATTACATGAATAAAATGGTTAAATTGTTTGAAGTTTATGAATTTATGAGATATTCAGAATGTCACAGTCAACATGACTCCAGACCATTGGAAAATAATTGAAAATGTGCTAGCAAGCATGAAACCCTACAAAATTACAAAAGCCTGTTCAGAGTATTGACAAACATGCTCGCAAAGGCATGAAACCCTAACAAAATTACAAATGTTTGTTCAGAATATTGATAAAAGTGCTAGCATGGCATAAAAACCTTAGGAATATACAGATGTGTATTCAGAATATTACCAAATGTGCTAGAAGAGTATGAAAGCACAGAAGCATATTCAGAATATTGACAAATGATTTGGCAAACTACGAAACTACAAAAGTGTATTCAGAATATTGGTAAACATGTTAATATCTAATTATGATTATCTTTTGAATAACTTACATGTTTGATTGATGAGAAGTTGCAGCTGTCATTTTGTTCTTCATGGTATTAAATAATGTGGGATAGAAGTCATGTAAATTATGACATGAAATTGTGTTTTCCAGAATGGCAATTTTATTCCACAGTCTTTTTAGGAGTAGATTGCCCTTTTTTCAATGTTTTAATATCATACAGAGATCTAGATCTCAAAAATTGGTCTGGTCAGGCACTTATAGATAGAACTGGAAAAAGTCAGAGCTTTGTGTAGTTCTCACAGCTCAGTAAGCAAGAAGTCTCCAGTAGATTTTGTTTTGAGTCCCTCTCCTATTAAATTCTGTGGATTATGATGTTAAATAATGTACATTCATAATGTTTGTTCATGAAAATGTTCAGTTAAAAACCTGCTGTTTTTTTTCCAGATCCAGTCCATCAAAAGCGACAGTCGAGACAGTGTCAACAGAACCCAGAAAGACTGTGAATTTTTTTCAAAGTGTTGACAGTGACAGCAGTAGTAGTGATGAGGAGGACAACAAGACAAAAAAAGAAAATGCATCAAAGGGAGATAATCAAAACAAACTCCCCAATCCTTTGGCAGAAAAGCTACCAACTCCAAGTCTCAGAGATCTTAAAGACAGCCAGTCAGTTTTCAGCAATAAATATGAACTAGCAGAAAAAGCTAAAAATTCTATCTTAGAGCAGCATGTTAAAATGACAGAGGCTAGAAAACAAGCCAAGAAAAATGTATGTTTCAAATTTCAGAAAGGAAAATGTAAGTTTGGAAAAAATTGTAAATTTTCACATGATTGTGGATCAGACATAGTTGTGAATTCTACAAAACAGGATGAAGAAAAATCCCAAAATGAGGCAGATTTCAATTCAGGATTTGGTGGTGCAGGGCGGTCAGTGCATTGTGATCCAAATGTTCGATATGGGGACACACTGCCTCCTGTTGATGCTGCTGATGATGATAGCTACATGGCCAGGACCAAACGAAAGAAACATGCAGGATTATCAGAAAATTTAGTTCCATCTAAAAGAGCTATGTCATCTTTAGACAGACAAAGAATTCATGAAAGACCATGGACAGTGAATAATAAAAAAAAAAATTACTAAATATTACTAATGTTACTTTGATACTAAATGGGAATTATAATGTTACAGTGATACCAATTTTACTAAGTGAAAGCTATAATATTATCATGATACCCATCTGCAGTAGGACATTACAATGTTTAAATGCAGTGGTAGAAAAAATAGTTGGAGGTTTTTGAAAGTTCTTTTCAGCAATAAAACATTTTGACACAAACTACAGAAAAAACTTCAGGATATGTAAAACTTTTGCACATTAAATGTATCAACTGGGAAATGTATTTGGTTTGTCGAAATATTCCATCTCTAGTCAAAACAATATTTCTGTCAAAGTTGCTTTAACTCATGTCAGTATATAGCTGTGTTATTATACGCACTTGGTTAAAGTAATATAAAGGGAGAATACTCTTACTGCACTTTTTTCACAGAGCGTTATGTGTTGTAACAATTTGTCACAACTTTACTGTGGACTTTGTATTGATGAAATTACCTCTAAGTGTTTCTTATATGGGACTTTACATGAAAATTTAAGGATGTCGGTTTTATTTGAAGTTATAATAGAAGTTCACAAGAACACAACCAGTGGAGGAATTAAGTTTTGCCTCGATCAGAAAAATGACAAGCATGAAGCATATTAGCATTGAAATTCAATTGAAATTAGGCTGTACAATAATCCTATTTAAAATAAGGTAGATTAAGAGTACCTCTTGGGGTTCCAAGCCTTTCTGACGTTCATTGTGTCGGACCCTGGTCCTCCTGCGTCTTTGTTCAACGTGTCACAGATCACGCATCTTACCCTGTGTACACATTCTGCAGTGTTCTCATCAGATGTTTTACTCTTCAGTGAACTAGGATATTTTAGAGTCTTGTGAGGTTGCAGGGCTGTTCCAATACCATGACGACGGTAAATACTCTAAATGGTTTCTGACTAGCCTTTGATGTAAGGGACAACTACCTGTTCTTTCATTAATTTCTATTCAATGATGTTTATGATTTTGATCTTTTCTTTTCCTCAAAATTTTGTTCACATTCTGGTTGCCCAATCAATTATGAATCTTCCTTCTTAAATTTCGTTTGAAGTCACTAATTGTGTGCTATTTTGGTTTTGGGATTGATCAGGATCATTATCCCATTTTCTGATGAGAAATTTTCAAATTTCATTTCTTAAATTAAGGGAAAGAATAGAACAAAAGATGAAAGATGAAACTTTTAAAGAACAAATAAAGATGCAAGGGGCCAAGACCCCTCTCACATAAAACATCGAGGTCACTGGGACTGAAAAATAAACAACAGATGTGCTGTACATCTTTACATCTGTTGGGGGATGACAGCTCTTAAGTTTGTAATGATTTCCTAGGAATCACAAGGCTTTTGGGACATCATTTTACACATATCTTATTTCAATGAAATGTGATGTCAGAATATTTTCTTTTTTTCCAAAAATGGGATTAAGGGTGAAAAAATTGACTGATATGGAGATATATCTCCAGTGTCGTATAATTCACATTAACAACTTTTAATATTCCAATTCATAAAAATGAGAAATATTGGTTGGTATGTATGAAACACAAATCATCATCATCATCATCATCATCATCATCATCATCATCATCATCATCATCATCATCATCATCACATCATCATCATCATCATCATCATTCATCATCATCATCATCATCATCATCATCATCATCATCATCTTTCTGTAAATGCAGATGTATGCACCAACTGGAATCAGTTGTTGGTGGTAAATCGTTTGAAATTTCATTCCTGGGAACCCATCAATACATAAGAGAGTATATAGATATTTGTTTAGATGTATGTGTGTGTGATTATTTTGAAATGATAAATACAAACACATGCATTAGAATTAAGTTGTGATAAGTAACAAGAAAAGGTAGATCAATATCGTAATTAAAGGCCAGAAAAGCCAAACAACTTTGTAAAATAACACTTTTAATTTTTTTTTTTCTGTCGGATTGTTCCCGAAACTGCATTTCCCAATCCATTTAGGATACGAATTACATTTGTCATAGTGAACATGGGGTGATGATCATTATGTGGTAAAACAAACAATTGCTGAAGTTATAACAAACCTTCTTTCCTTGTAGCATGGAATCCACTATTTGTTTTCCATGGCATTCACCAAATGGAAATCATGTATTCCAGTAAAGAAAGCATCTTTTTCTTCTTCACTGACAACACCCATCACATTATCAGTATCTCGGTCTACCAGACATGCTAAAAAACATCAAGCACATTATTGCCAGATTCCAAGGTGTTGAATTCTTCCGATAGATTTCACCTAACATTATCGAAGGAGTTTGATAAATTGAGGTTTTAAATCTATAGCAGACAGCAGTACAGATGTAGTCATGTTCTTACACATTCACACGAATCGCTATATTTTCATCATAAAGTTAGTTAAGGCCCTGTATGGGAGATACAGGTACCCAATAGTAATTTTTCTTTCTGTTCAGCTGTCCACAAAATCACTTACTTACTGATTTCTTGACTATCAACCAAATAAAATTAACCTTGGTTCATAGAAATATATACTGAGGCCAAAAGCAAAGGTCAAGGATATTTGCTCCTCAAATCTAAGTAAAATATTGTGTCTTCACAGCTGGAAAAGGTCAAGGTCACCGGGTCAGAGAGGCAAGGGTTACTGAGTTGAAGATGAAGATCAATTTTTGAAGTTTTCATTGATAAATGTTTTTGTTCTGAAGTTATGAAGAAAAGTGAGTCAAAATTAAACAAAAATCAAACTAAACAAAGAGGAAGATCACTTGATTATGCCAATGGGTCTAGAGGTCAAGGGCAAATTAGATCTTACTGCCACATATCAGAGATAAGTGTACAATATAGTTATCACTGTCTTTATATTCATAAACGTATGCTGTTTTGGAAATTTCAACCTACATCACAGATTTTCAATGTATCCGAAGATTTTATATAATTCTGTATGTTAGGCTGCTGACACCTTGGCCAATCAGTATTTCTCTTTAAAACTGAGTTTGCATCCTGTCTTGTACTACTGATGCCATCCTAACACTTAGGCACAAATATCTGCAAAAAAAATATTCCGCGTGATCTCTGACAATGACCCTGGTTGTTCAGGGGGGTGGCGGGGGGGGGGATGGAATTTCAAAGTTTAAGTGAAAACAAGTTTTTAAATATGTGCTATTGCAGTATTTGTTTTCCTCATCTCAGCAAAATAATTATAAAGAGGAGGAGGAAGGAAACAAATGTTAGATCAAGCTCAGCAATATGGACAGATGACCTCATTATCATTATGGGGGAGAAACACAGGACGGTAGCAACACTGGAACTTAAGCTTACTATCTGAAGAGCTTTTAAGCAGTTCCAGAAAAAAACCACCTATTAACGAGACAGGACAAGCTTACATTGCCTTCTTATCCGTTAGCTGAAGATCGCACATCCAGTTTTAATACAGCAGCGACACTGGATATAGCCTCTACGTCACCAAATACAAAGATGCCTAACTTCTCTTCTGACGCGCAATCCGTACAGATGGACGGTGCAATATTAAATCTTAATACTTCCGACCCAAGACAGAACAGAAACCTAATTATTGGTGACTTTCTGTTATGTGGTTTGTGGTTCAAAATATATTAGAAGCTAGTGCAATAGCATTGCACTTGAACAAGGACATCAGAATTATCTAGGATGTCCGTGACGGTAAGATTAATACCGCTGTGTGGTCAGGTCATTGTTCTCATACCTAATGCTCAATGTGTCAAAAAAAAAAAAAAAAAAATCGGCAACCAGCCAAAATTCTATTGCCGGCAACTCTGTCGAATCGTATCGAGGGCCAACAGACAACACATGAAACTCGTAGTGGCAAAAAACAGCAGCGCAGTAACACGGGTAATACGACAAGGATACGTGTTAAAACAGCTGTGGTGTCATTCATTGTACTTTTTTTTAACCGAGCTTGTTTGGGGACATTGCCTGTAAGTGTCCTGTCAAGACTGACTTATGAACGACTCTCTTATTTGACAGTGAGTAATAGACTAAGGTGAATGTGTCTTGGAACAAAAAACAGAACAGAAAATGCCTCTGTGATGCCTTACCAAACATGGACATGAAAATCCCATTGCAAAATAGGAAACCGAACATGTTTAAGATCCAAGTCAAACTGAAAACACAAAGACATTCCAAGAACAGTTGTGTGTCAATAGATACAACACGCACACACAGACGCTTATAGAATTAAGCAAGTAATATTGACGGTATGGGCCAATAGTGGTACTGGATCCTATCAAACGTTCGCTGGATGCGTGGTACTAGTAGTATAGATATATGTATTTGATCAATGAAGTAATAACAACAGTACGGACAAGCAAATTGTCAAGGGAAGCAATCCATCCCTTTATCAAGATACGAACAATTACAGAAGTTACACACTACCTATAATCGCGAACAATAAATTCACTATATATATATATTTATATAGTTCAAATAGCTTTAAGCATTAGCGCTTTCTATGCTACACAGGCACGTATATGTGTTTATTTCAGTGCCTTCCGCAGGATTCGAACCAGGAAATTCTAACTTACTACAAAAGGCCTGCAGCAATGTTTGTAGGGTATGAGAGTTTGTACAACATACTGTAACTAGCAAAGGAGACCAAAGAAATACCAGAGAGAAATCCGCGGGTATACAGCTGAATTCTTTTCGAATTTTACAACATAAGCACCAGAATGTTCACAAATAATTTACATATGAGAAAAAAACCACTTCAGATAGCAACAGGCTATATTAATATATTAAGATATTTTGCTCACTGCGAATACGAAGCGATTTCCCGAATGTAACTATATCTGTCCGTTGAAATCCAGATCAAATAAGGCTGAATGAAAACACTGTCGGCACGAATTTGCTTCAGTTTCAGGTGACATCTTTCAAATACATATATGCCTAGTCAAACTCCAATCATAAGTCAAATGTCCAGTTCAAAAACAATCTCACTAAACAGACTTCTTTTCGATGCATTTAAATTAAACCAGTCGCCATTGTGTTGACATTATCGAAATAAATACAGGACATTTTACTTTTCGAAGGGCTTATTTAATTGGTTAATGAATAAAATCGATGAAACTATGTTGAGATCTCTAATGTCATAGGTGAAGAAATTTCATCTTTTCTCAAAGTACTTTTACGTTTTTGTAGATGACTCAAAATTTTTTACATATTGATAGTTGATGACGTTAAATGAAATCACTTCTTCATAAAGGACATTAATCCTATATATGCATCTACTTGTTTA